AGGAAGGGTTATGTGACCTGAACGAGTGTGTGAGGGAACAGGGCCTGCTGTGTGCCAGTGCAGCCGTGGATGTTACGTCAGTCAGGCCCGTGGGCTCAGGTGACCCAGTCCGAGGGAACAGGGGAAACAGGCCAGGGCAGGGCTTTGCTGGTAGATGCAGAACCCCTGGTGTGAAAACTTGGCTCTGGCCTATTGTGGAGCCACAGGTGGCCACGGTGTGGTGAAAGTAAGCAAACTTATGAGACAGGAAAGAAGACCTTCGAAGTGAGAATTAGCACTTTCATATCAAACCCGCTGAGAATAGACAGTGGCCCGTGAGGACCCCAAGCTGTCAAAGGCCAGAGAGAATAAAAGGTAGTCCCAGGAGGCAGCAAAGGATGGAGAGTGGGCTTGAGGCCTGATAGGCCTGACTTAGAAGCTGGCTCTGCCCTTTATGAACTCTGGTGACCTTGGGCAGCTTCCTTCTTCTCTACCATTAGCCTCCCCGTCCCTCGAAAGCAACAGAGCCATGTCTCCTGAATAGTCCTGTGAAAAGTTAGTGAAATATTGTGCACAGAAACTTAACTCCTCTCCGTTCGAGTTACATGGCTAAGAGTAGTGGTATGTGAGTGGTTAATTTTTCTTAGAAATGCGGTTTACTTTTAGAGTGTGTTGTTGCTGTGGCATTAAACTTGTATAAGGAATTACAGATATGTATGCAGTTACGTTAATAAAGAAATGTATTTGCATATAAAAGGTCTAGAAGCTCTGTCTCTTCGGGCCAGCAAGAATGCTAACTTCAGGTGCCAAAAGGATTCCCGGGGCACCCTGGGGCAGCTAAGTGTTAAGTGCAGGGATGGGAAGAAGGGAATTCAGGCACTCTGAAGGACTTTTTGCATTCCTTATTCTAACACAGAGACAGAAATATTTCAGCAGCTGTGGAAAAAATTGCCCAGAAATCACCTCCCAGTTAATTTCTTTAGAGCTTACACTACACAACAGGGGGCTCACTGCTCTTCCCCCCTGCAAACTTACTTCCCTAAATACTGAAAACACGTTACAACGTGTTAAATATTTTTCAGGTTTTCTGAGATGCCACTGAGAACTATCAGCAAGCACTGACTTAGAATTTACCCCTGGGTCATTATGCATATTTTTTTTCCACGGGAAACCAAATTGAGGAAAAGTTTTCAAACAATTGGAACTTATATCCTGCTTTAAATTCATGCTGTGAGACTTAAAACTGAATCCTTAACCCGCCCCTGAGCTGCAAAAATATTATTTATTTTTCCTGTAAATGGACCATATATGAGGGTAAAACAAATGTCTTTCTGTCTTGAGATATGTGTATGTAACTTTTTTTTTCCTGGCCAAATTCCCAAAAGCCAAACATCTAACTGAATGACTGATATCAGCCTTGCCTAAAAAAAAAAAAAAAGAAAAGAAAAGAAAACTTGACCTCTTATAAAGCAGAAATCAGGAGATCTGGATTCTAGACTCAGTCTGAACCATGACCTGGCCATGGAATGTGGGGATTCTCTCCAGCTCTCCGTTCATGGTCCCTGTTCAATGAACAGGGGGTGGGGGAGTGCGGCGGGTGGGGGGGGTTGCTCAGGAACAGGAGAGGAGTCGGCCTGAAACCCCATTTGGCTCTAGAATCATACGACTCCAGATCAAAGCATAGGTAAACAATCGCAAGATCCTATTCTGAAAAATATTTTAATATTGACTCAAAACACGGTCCCGAGAAATCCTCTGTAACGCCCTCGTCAAAGGAAAGCCCCCAGTTTCAGATTCTGTCCTGTGGAGTGTGTAACTTGGGTCCCTCATCAATCCCTTTATGTAGTAATATCCCCACCTGCTGGAACTTTAGGTTTTTGCTGCTAAAGGTGGGAGGTGTTTGGTAAAGCTTCCCCAGGCCGGGTTACCTGAGGAAGGTTCCTCTTCCACCGTGTTCCTTTGTGGAGGAGGCCAGAGCTCTGGTGCTGTGTCCTTTCTCCCCGCTGTTAGATCTTATGGTGGGGCTGCCCTGGGCTCTGGGAATGACAGAACCTCCCAGAAGCGGGTACTCGGTGCTCATCAGAATTTCCACACTTTCCTGAAAGATGATCCTTGGCTTCCTCCTCAGAGCCTGGGTCTCAGGGATCCAGTTAACGCCTGTTGGGCTGGAGATCCTTAAAAACCAAACCCAGACTCTGGGTTTGGTGTGGTCAGAAGCAGGCCATGGGGTGGAGGCCAGGGGAAAGCAGCACCCCTGCCCCTCGTGTGGGGCAGTCTCTAATTAAGTTAAAGGTTTCCTTAAATCCATATCTCCAGGTTAGGGACTCACTAGGAGCTGACTCTTCAAGATGGGGTCCTAAGACTTTATTCCAGAATTGGAGAAGCCAGAGGCCTGGCTTTTCTGTTCTGCCTCAGCTCCTGCCTTGGGAGAGTTTGCCTTCCACTGGAAGCCTCTGGAAGCAGAGGCTGGCTGGCTGGCCCACCACTTACGTCCTATGCGTCCTATGTGACTCCCATGTTCCTCTGCACCCTGTGTAAAGCCTCCCATCTGTGGAGCTGTCTCTGCTGAGCCAGCTCCCTTTCCAGGTGCATCACCCATGGAGATATTTTTGGGTCCTGTCAGGAGACTGCAATGAAAAGCTTAGAGCTTTGCGTCAAGGCCACCATCTGAGCTCTGGGCTCCAGGGAGGGTGTAGCCTCTTCAGGGCAGGAAAGAACGCTGTCGGACAGGCTGTCCTGAGCTGACATCAGCCTCTTGTGGTGCGGTCCAGAGACTCCAGGGCCAAGTGGACACGACGCCTTTCCCCCCTGCTCCCCACCCACGCCTGTGGGAGCCCCACACCGCTGTGGCTCAGCTCCCCGCACTGCGCCCTCGGCCCCACAGCCCAATCCCATTGCAGAGCCCAGCCAGCCTGGCCCAGAGAAGCGAGGTAAATAGTAATGAAAGAGTCTTTTTTGGATTAATGGTGACTGGCAACCAGCACCTATTCCCAGGCTAGCAGAGACCTCCTCTCTCCTCTCAAGTTGACTGAGGAATAGTTGCCAAAGAGTTCCTGACAAGAACCCCCTGCTATGCAGGCAGCATTGCCGATCTCCCTCTCAAAGGTCATCTTTCCACAGTTCCTCCCTGCCTGCCCCCCCATGAGGAATTTCTTATTTCACAGAGCTAAATGCCACAGTCCTCCTCAGCTATACTGGCAGCCTTCCCTCAGAAAGCAGTCACCACACAGAGCCAAAGGCAGCACCCCAAAGACAAAGTACAGCGCCCAGTCCATTAGATAAGTGTGAATCAGATCTGTCGCAGATGTCCTAGATCACAGCCAGACTCCCTTCTTTTGTCTTCAAAACTCTCCTTTTGGCTCCTAGCAAAGTCCACCAGGTCTCCTCATCAAGCCAGGACACTCCCACTTAAACCCGTGGCTGCCCTAGAAAGGGGCTAAGGACAATACTAGAAAGGCTGTACCGCCTGAATTATTCTGTGGATTCTAGCATCTGAGGTAAGGTGGATGCAGTGAGCCCAGGAAGCCTAGGCATAGCTTGTCCTCAGGTATGGCCACCGCTTCAGAGTGACAAAGTGCTGTCACATACATTTTTCCTGTTTGATCCTTTTTTTTTTTTAAAGATTTTATTTATTTTGTACATTTTTCCTGTTTGATCCTTTTTTTTTTAAGATTTTACTTATTTATTTGGGAGAGAGAGATCACAAGTGGGATGGAGGAGGGGGAGAGGGAGAAGCAGACTCCCTGCTGAGCAGGGAGACCCTCAGGTCTCAATCTCAGATCACGACCTGAGCCGAAGGCACGTGACTCAGCCACCCAGATCACATGACTGAGCCACCCAGGCACCTCTCCTGTCTTGATCCTGAATCACTACCCTGGGAAAGAGAAGGCCAGAGGAAGTAGGAGGCAAGTTCAAGTTTCAGGAGATCTTGGAAAAAGGTGCTACTTGGGAGAGAGGTCTCCTTCCTGGTCCTGCATGACTGGGATGGAAGTGTCATTTTACTCCTATAACTGAAGACCAAACTTTGGGAAACGCTTGGTCTGGGTCCAGTGTATGAATGTGCAGTGGCATCGGTCCCTGAGTGTCACAGCAGAACCTGGGTGCAAGTGCTCTTTCCCCAGGCCTGATCTTCCTAGAGAGCCAGGACTGGAGGACAGATGCCCCAGAAGAAGATCATTTGCTCATGGCTTCACCAGGAATGGCAGTATTCCAGAGTCCAGCAAATACCATATGCTGGTATTTTGTTAAAACTTGGCTAGGAGACTCATTCTTCTCTGATAATATCTTTGAGGTTCTATATGTAGCCCTTTTTGCAGGGGGGGAGTAGGAGGAGAAACCCTAAAAAAGAGTGTCATAACTAGATAGGCTGGCCTCCCTTTCAACATGTGAGGGAGAACCTCATCAGAAAGACCGCCATTTCTAGACTCGGTGCTCTGCCCAACTATGAGATCTCCAACATCACTGCTCAGTTCATGGCAAAGGAGGAAAACAAAAGGGATTCTGCTTTGCCTCTGCACCTTTCCCCATGTAAGCACCAGGGAAGTCAGCATGTCTGAACTAATTTCTGGGTATCACACAGAATAATAATATTCAACACATACTGAGTCCTAACCACAGTCCAGGCATTGTAATAAGCACTTTATGTGAATTAACTCATTTACTTCTCACAATGATCCTACGAAGTAAGGATTCCTCTTATCCGCATTCTATAGATGAGGAAACTGAGGTGAAGAGATTATTTAGCTATCTCGTGAGGCAGGCAGGAGGGAGCACAGGCAGCCTGCTTCCAGATCATTCCATACAACCACTGGGCTTCCACCAGTGGAAGCGTGGATTATGTCCCCTGGAGTAGAGCTGTCTCTTACTGGGCCAGCAGAGCCTTGAAACTGGGGGTGGGGGTAGGGAGCTCCTCTGACACTGTAGCCCTGGCCCATGGTTCCAACCTCCCATCTCCCAAACGTTTGGGGCTGCTTGGATGCCAGCTGCCCCAGAATCCAGTAACCCCAGTAGAATGTCCTTACCAGCATCCCCTGCTCTGTCCCCTTTGTCTCCTTTCTCTCCTTTTGGGCCTCGGTCACCTGACACAGAGGAGGAAAATTGACATTAGAGTGGAAATAAATCCTGACCATGGATAAAATATTATGTGCAAGAGATGAATTAACCCAAGACCCAAGACCTGAGAAATTTTCACCAGGAGCCCCCAGACCTGGAGGGCCTGGCAGGGAAGGAAAGATAAGAGCTTGAGTCAATTATGCTGCATGCTTTGGTCACCCCAGAAGGAGGTCAGGGGGTTCATCTGAGAAATTTCATTCCCTCTTAATTAAAGTGTGGAAGAACAGGGTCTACCAGCACAGGCTAGAGTCGTGGTATTCAATGGGAATTGACAGGGCAAAGCTATTTCTAGTAAGTAGTCAAGGTTTTAGAAGTACATGGCCAAGTTTGCTATAACAAGCACAGGAGGAAAAGATGGGGAAAGGTCTTCAGTTACTTTGGGAAGACAGAGGTTATAGGTCAGGCAGATTTACCTGGGGGCTGGGAGAGTCTGGGAAACATGAGAGAGAGCTTCCGGGGAAACTGTAGAATTTTCTTCTCAGGATATGGTTGAAAGGACAGAGGTCTTTTTCCAGCTAGCATCTTACACTCCAAAGAAGTAGAAGGTCCTGACACCTCTCGAGGGGACACTAAAATGACCAGGGAATTCTATTCCAAGTACTTCCAGAAAGATATCTGCACGTCAAAATCCTGTGGCATGTTGTCTGGTGCAAGAAGCCAGCCGGCAAGTTCTGGGGAAGGATGCCTATGTGATCCAAGTTTTGAAAACAGAACAAAACAAAGCACCCCAAGGCAATCATACACGTAAATATGAATATGCTTAGAAAAAGATCCGGCAGAGTGTGCCCCAAAGTGTTTACAGTAGTTATTCTAAAGAGTCATAGCGTAAGGGACTCAGGGAGGGGACCCCCTTTTTAGTTTATACTTTACATACTTCTGTATTGTCACATTTTTTTAATAAGCATGTGCTACTTTCGTAATCTATTTTAATATCATTTTTTAAAAAAATGTCCTTCGTAAAAGGGAGGAAAACCTCAGCTGTTTAATCACTAGAAAGGAGCCTAAAAGTTCCCAGTGATCCAAGATGCAGAGATCCTCCTAGACCCGGGGTGAGAATGATGAATAGTACTCTTTCTTCGCTTTCATCTTCACAAGGGAGGAGATCAACACGGGGGAACCAGCACCCAATTTCCTCATCTAGCCATGCAATTACGGTAGAAGTCTACGAGTTCTTGAAGAGAATGTGGAAAGCCGGGCACTAATACCGTGGATGCCCCCTAACAATGAACGAGGGGACTGCCTTCAGGAGGAAAACCAATTCATCAGGAACACTATTGGCAATGCAAATCTGAGAACTGAATTCAAGTTTCAAATACTGGGGGAGTCAAAAGCATGGGACGGACTGTTGGGAATCTGGGGGTATGGGGAAGGAGGTGGGTATCCTGGGTCTGCAGCCCCCCATTTCTCCTGTGAGCCTAGTCTCCCAGCTTGGCTTCCTCTGGCTACACCACTCATCCGCAACCCCCAGGCTTGCATTTCTGTTGCACTGGAGAGCGGACAAAAGGTTTTCACACAAACATGACCCATGTCATCCTCGTGACGGCCCTGCGAAGTATGGTATCATGAGGATTTCTGGGTTCGGGACAAAGAAACGAAGGTTTAACAAGGCTAAGTGACTTGCCCAAGGTCACTGAGCTAGCTGGTCAGTGGCAGAGCCAAAAGGCAGATCCTGGCCATTCACTCCAGTGGCCACACTGGTGCCCAGAGGGCTAGTGGCGAGCAAGGCTACATGGGGACTCGGCGATTCGTTACTACCTTTGAACCCACGTATGCCCATGGGTCCTGTGGCTCCCATCTTCCCATCATCGCCCTTGGGGCCTGGCAGTCCTGGGGTGCCTCTCTCCCCTGGCAGACCTGGGAAGACAGAGGACAAGTTGTAGAACATCAGACTCAGAAGTGGAAGGGTCTTTGCAGGTCATGATCCAGCCCAGCAGTCTGCCTCAACCAGACATCCCACTGAAGCTTTTCTTTCCTGATTCCTTTTAGTTAACTTAAAGATGCTGCCAAAGCAATTGTCCGAACAGTCAGCACAAGCCTTCCCCACCGGCACCTTTTATCCAGTTAGGCTGGACCTCTCCCTGCCACCCCCTGAAAGGTCCAATTCTATTGTGAGTGGTAGCAGTGGTGCCCTATCCATTTGGGAGACGTCCCTCTACCTCTAGCTATGTTGGAGATTTAAAATCAGCAAACTTTTTTTTTCTTGAGTACTTTCTATGTGTCAGACACTGTTCTGGAGTCTTCTCATAAAGTATCTCATTTTATCCTCACCATAAATTGAGGTATTATTTCACCTATGTGACAAAGGAGGAAACTGAGGCCCAGAGAGGTTAAGTATCCTGCCCAGGGTCACACAACAGAAAGTAGCAGGGGCGAGACCTGAGCCCTGGCCTTCCTGAACTGAAAGCCTGTGGTCAGTCAGCTTCGCCTCATGCTGGATGAAAAGGACTTACTGGCATTTAGGGTAGGAGGAAGATGAAATAGCACCCCATCCTCCTTAAGAGAAAAACCATGAAGATCCCTTCCATGCTATACATCCAGAGAGATACAGCAAAGGGGACCGTAGGCTGAGGAGGAGGGAGAAAGTCAGCAAGGCCAGTAAATGGGATGGATGACCTGCTGGCAGATCAGGCCCCGGGGCTCCTGGCCACGACGCCCTGTGGCCACTGCCTGCCTTTCACCACGGAGAGCCAGAATCAACAAATGCTTTCACCCAGTGAGAGCCCTGTGCCCCCAGAGGCCTGACCTAAGCCCACAGTTATCTCTGTAAAGCAGAGAACTCTTAATTAACTGATTACTTGTTCTTTCCTGCTTTGAATATGAACTTGGCTTCCTCTGGTCTTTTTCCGTGACTTGGAAAAACCTGTCTTCCAGTAATTATTTCTCCAGAGCTAACATCAAATGTCTGGAAGAGGATGCGTGGCCCCAGAGGATGGTGGGACCTCAGAGAAGGGCTGATTGGTTTCTTTTCTCCTGCCTAATGCAAGGTACCTGTTTGGAGTCCAGCCGCCTTGTTGCCGTAGAATTCTAAATCTAGTATGAGATATGCCCAGAGCTCCCCATCGTATAATTCAGTAAGGCAGAAAAGGAGATTCCACAGCCCTGTGAGTGTCTAGGCATCCTTGGTTCTAAATTTGGGAAGTTCCCCTGGAGGGGAGCCAGGGCTGGAGGCCAGGTCACTATCTTCTGCCCCTTCTCTGGTTCACAACCTCCTCAAGATTTAGGAAGAGGATAGTTAAGAGATACAATTCCTGACATAAACAGACATCTTTCCCCGAATAAACTTCCCCTTTTCTTGCATCGTTTAGAAGGCTTTGCACTCTTCTAGAAAAATGCTGCTCAGAGCAGAGGCTCAGAAGTGAACAGACTGGGATGCCAAGTCTGATAGTCACAGGACAGGAACTTCTGACACAATGAGTCAAAGAAGAACGCCCTCTTTCCAGAAGGCCAGGAGCCACCCTCCTGCCAGCCCCTGGACCTTCAGAGCTGTCACTTGCGTGTTCATTGATCTGGGCAGAATCAGCAAGCAGGAGGGAACATCCAGGGTCTGGTGACTTGGGAAACACTGCAGGAAACAACACACTTGCAGAACACTCTCCAATGCTTCTGAAGGCGTTGGTCATGTGAACTCTGACTCTTGTGGTGGGAAGTGGATTCAGGGAACTGTGAGCCTCTCATGCACCCCTTTCCTTCAGATCCTGGTACTTTCTGTGAGGAAGTGTTTGCTTCATCCTATTGTCATACCTACAACCTATCAGTCTCTTCACAGAACAGGGCATTTGAAGGTAGGTTGAGTGGGCACTCTCCCAGGGAACCCCATCACCAATGTCAACAAGAAAGTAGAGGGCCAGGTATGGAATGGGTGCAGCTTCCTCCTGGGGCTTCCCAGTCACCTCGAAGTCCAGGTAATCCAGGGATCCCAGGCTCTCCTTCCTTCCCTTCATCTCCTGGATCACCTTTGGGGCCCGGTGGTCCTGAAAGGGTTACAAATGGCACCAAAGTTAGAAGGTAGCTTTCTGGAACAGGACACCTGTAGAAGAAACAAAAATTCCCTCTTCAAGAGAAGAAGAGTCAACATTATGCTTTGGGAGCACACAGGGCTCCACCTAGCCTAGTCTTATACGGGTGCAGGGGGAATCAGGAAAAGCTTCCTGGAAGAAGGGTTATCTAAAATGAAATCTCAAGGAGTAACAGAAGGTGGCTAAGTAAAGGGAGGACTGCATATCTCTGATCTACCCCCCACCCCAACAAATGCACATGCTGAGGCCCTAATCCTCAATGTGATGGTGTTTGAAGGTGGCCCCTTGGAAGTGATCGGGTTTAGATGAGGTCATGAGGATAGGGACCCCAATAAGAGACACAAGACAGTACTCTTGCTCCTTCCTTCCCTCCCTTATCATGCTTGGAATGCTCTTTCTCCCTCTCCCTCTCCCTGTGCTATATGAGGACACAGCAAGAAAGCAGCCACCTATAAGCCAGAAAGAGGGCTCTCCTCAGTACGTAACCATTCAGGCACCCGGATCTCAGACGTCCAGCCCCCAGAGCTGGGAGACATAAAGTTCTGCAGTTTAAGCTGCCTGGACCGTGGTATTTAGTTAGAGCAGCCTGGACTGACTGAGACAGAATGAAAGGGAGAGCTCTGGGCAGAGGGAACAATCCCTACAAGAGCTTGAAGAAAGAAACATGTGAGCCACTGTGGGATTAGAAGCTGGGAGCACATGACAGGATGAGAAGGGTGAACAAGTGGGGGTTTTGGAGGCCTGGCTCAAGTGTTAGACTTGACCCTGAGGGCACCAGAAGCCATAGCGGGGCATGAGGGAAACAAGAGTGTGATCTGATCTGCGCAGGAAGAAGATGGCTTGGGCCGCCATGTTGGAAAACAGCTCAGGATGAGAAAGAACACAGACGCAGGGAGGCCACGAAGAGGCTGCATCCCGGTGGGAGGCAGTGGAACTCTGAATTAGGGAAGTGGTGGTCTGGAGGATGTGAGCAGCTGTGTGGAGGCAGAACAGACGTTGGCTAAACACAGGTGAAGGCGGGGAAGAAGACCAGGATCAGGTTCAGATTTCTGGCTTGAACACCTGAGGGAAGGAAATGGGTCTAACTATTCCTAAGTGGGGCTTTCTTCCAGGGCCAGGCACCACTGTGGCAGGGATTCTAGCCTATGTGACTGGATCCAGTCCCCACAACGGGCTAAGTGTTGAAGTTACTTGTCTGAGACCACACAGCTGGGTAATGAAAAAAGGAGCACAGGTTCCAACTCCGGTCTCTCTGGCCCCACCCCTGCTGCCTCACTTGTCACAGGAGATAGCTCCCCATTCCCAAAACACAGTTAGACCTTCCCACCCCCCAGCCTGCTGCCCACCAGGTCAATCTCGTGCACTTATCTCGCGCTGCCTTGTCCTCCACTCATAACTGTACGTGTTCTCTGTTTCCTAACAACATTGCCAGACGCCAAGCTCCCCACTTCTGCTGCCTTGTGACAGAAAAAGACCAAGGAAAATGCCAAAACCGTATTGTACTGAGTTGAAGAGCGTCCCTCCAAAATTCATGTCCACTTGAGACCTCAGAATGTGACCGTATTTGGAAATAGGGTCATTTGCAGATGTAATTCGTTAAGAGGGGGGTGATCCTAGAGCAGGGTGGGTCCTAACCCAGTGCAGGGAGGGTCCTAAACCAATGGCGGGGCTTCTTAGAAGAAGATAAAACACAGACAGATACCCAGGGAGAACGCTCCATGACAAGGGAGGCTGCATGTCTACAAGCCAAGGAATGCCAAAGATTATTAGCGATCATCAGAAGTTAGGAAGAGGCCCAGAAGAATTGTGTCCTGCAGCTCACAGAGGGAACGTGACCCCGCGGACACCTTGAGTTCAGACTTCCAGCCTCCAGCATGGTGAAAGAATCAATTTCTGTTGTTTTAAGCCACCCAGTTTGTGGTCCTTTGTTACGGCAGCCCTAGGAAACCAAAACATGTACACTCACAGCATAGCAGCAACAGATTGCACAATAAATATTTGATGAATGAATGAGATCAGAGGGTGTTAATACATAGAAAACAATCAGGCGGCCAAGATCAAGATGTACTGATACGTTCCAAAAGCTGGCACTGTCCTCAGACCCTAACCCAAGTTGACAGCTCTTTAATGATTCAATGGCACACACACGGGGGAAAAAGCAATCAACAACTTAAAAATGCATGCGTTACACACACAAAGCATTTAAAGGGGACTGGGTTCTGTGGCCATCTTCCTCTCTTCTACGAAGAAAAGCAAAGTGAGCCTGGCTATAGCAATCCCAGTTTTCAGGCGACAGCGTTTAGACACAGAACCGGCTTAGAACACATCTCAGATTACATGGCAAAGGAAAGGCATAGTGGAAGGAGCAGATGAGGTTCCCACCCCTCTTCTAGCAATCTCTGTCAGGTCAGAGGGCTGCCTGGATGTCTGCACTCCATGAGCTGTCCCTGGGAAGGACATCCTTCTCCCAGTGCCCAGTACACTCCCCTCCTTGTCACTGTCCTCTGTCCCTCCACCCTTGCCACGTGGAACTCAGTGCTTCCAGAATCAAGTGGGTCAAGGAGGCAATGGACTGAGCACTAGTACTCTATTTGTTCTCCTGTGGGCGTGATTCAATGTATGGTCTTCCCAGGAGTAATGCTCTGCCCAGGGATTGGCCCTGGGGATGGGGCCGCGGGGTGGTGGAGATCCTTTGGAAGGTAGGTGTTGAGTATGAATATGAAGTGTCTTGGGTTCAGGTCCTGGTTCTATAAAATCTAAGTTAAAATTCCTTCCCAGACATTTGAGGAGTCAGTGGATTACATGACATGCTGGATATAAAGGGGCTTGGTAACCTTTGAGTGGCAAGGCCATGTTGACCATCTGTACCCCCACCCCCTTTCATAACGCTTCATCAGAACTATCCCAAGACTACCAGGTATGGTCATCTTGGGCTGCCCCTGAAATCACCTTGCCAAGCTTAGCTGGCTCTTTCAAGGAGATGCGGGTCTGGAAACATCCTACATGACGTGGGTACAGTTTTTAAGACATGGATGAGTGGTTCCTGTGGGCCTGTACAGGAGATGAACTGGGAGGGAATGGGGTAAACAGCAGAGGTGACTGCTGATTTCTAAGTCATACCCTTAGATGGAACCAGCCCCGCAGACTCTGAAGGACCTAAACTGTGGCCTGTGTGAGCCTCATGGGGCCAGGCTGCTGGGGTCTCCAACGACCAAGGTCTTCTTGAATCACTCCTGCCTGTGGGTAACGCACACCTGAGGTCTGACTTCTTATCATTTTCCTGGGAATCCAGGCCAAAAACCTTTTTTTTTTTTTTTTCTTTCCAGGCCAAAAAGCTTGAGCCTGTTTTGACTCCTCCCTTTTCTCTGTTCCCCACACCCTCTTGCTCACCAAGGCTCATCATCGGGGTCATTCCCATGTCATGCCCCCACCTCCTTCCTCAGCTACCACACTCCACCGGGTCTTGCTCCCAGCCTTTTTAAAAACCTCCTTGCTTGCAGTCTCGCTAAAACCCATGAATCAAGTCAGAAGCTAGTGAACTCACCGTCTCTGAGCTCCCTCATAGCCCAAGGGGTCAAAGCCCCTCTATTGGAGACCTCTGCAGATCCCCCACGCGACCCCTTCTGCAAACTCATTCTGATGCTTCTGGACACAAGCTTCCTTTCACCTCTGCAAAAACATTCTCGCTGCCCCCAGACATCCACCAAATCTTTTCTATTCCAAAAGCCCCATCCCCCTCAGGCCTGACGCTCACCTCCATGCATACCCGTTCTGATCTTTTAGGGCCCCTGGGCAGAGCCCCCAAATCTGAGAGCTGGAAGGCCCCTCAGACATGACTGTAGACAAACTTCTCAAGGGAGCACTCCTGAACCTGGGCAGGCCACCCTGGGCCCACTTCCTGGGACCCATCACTCATCCTACACCATGGTCCCCTAGGAGTTCAGGCCCTCTGCCTCACTCACAGCAGAGAGTCCACTAAGGAGTTCCGGGCAGTCATAGATGCTGTTATGGTATCAGCGGTCCTAATGGTACCCAGCTGAGCTTTTTAAGCTCTTGACTCTTGACACTCTGACTTGCTCATCTCTTCTATCACTCAAACAGTCCAGAGCATGGAGGTTGTCTGGGACAGGGAGGAGCGGGGCCTACTTCTTTGTTGGTCCACCTCCTACATGGGGGATGGGAGGGAGGAAGAGGAAGAGGAGGAGGAGGTGGATGAGGAGGTGGTGGAGGAGGTTGGAGAGAACTCTCCGGCCCTGTGCCCAGAGTGCCCTCCCAGAGCCCACCCACCAGTCCAGTCCCATCCTCCCCCATGCCCCCGTCCCTGTACTGCCCCCAGTACAGCTCTGCCCCCTGAGAGGGCTGCCTCTGGGCTACACCAGCTGGAAACTTCTCCTGAACAGAACAAAGCGTATGTGACTGAGCACTGGCTTCTTCTGGGGCCCAGCCAACAGGGAGGGAGAAGCAATCCATTCTCCCTTCCCGGATCTGGGCATGAGCGATGGGGTGGAGGACATGCCGGGGCTGGAAACAGGACAGGGACAGCTGATGAAGTGGGCCTGAAGCCAGCAGAACCAAGACCAAGATCCTAATACAGACACTGCCCGCTGCACCACACACGCTAATCCCAGCGTGGCTGACCAAGGTGGAGTCCCTCAGTTAATTACTCTCCTTCCCCCCTTGACGTCACTGGGGCCCTGGGCTGTCAGCTTCGCCTCTAGGGTTTTGCACGCTCTCCCCCTTCCTTCACTGTGTGGGGGCAGTGCCCGTCAGCAGCGTTGCCAAGCCTGGGGGACACTCGGCCCAGACCCACAGGGGCTGCCCCCCACTTCAGCCCACACTGCGGGGCCAGTTCTCCTCGGACCTCACAGACTGAAGCTGAGGCCACTGTTTGCTTTCAGGCCAGGCTCTCCACTCCCTTTCCAGCAGACAGGCTGATGCAGAAGGCGACAGGACAGAGTTCTCCCGTCCAGCCCAGGGAGCTGCTGCCTAGTCCATGCTTCCCAGGCCTCGGTGGGGCAGAAACCCTCTTTACAAACAGCCCAATTCACAGAGATCCTTGATCCCTCCAACATGTCTCTGCACACTGGGGCCAGAGTTGGAGCCCAGGACCCGAGGCCTCCCTCCATCACGTCAGCCCTTTACAAACATTGCTGCGTTCTCCACTGCACGGTGTGCTTTCTTGAAAAAGTAGCTCACACATAAATCTGCCCTGCCAACAGCTTGTTTTCATGAACGGAGAGATGGATTTTTGAGTCCCAGCTGGACCACCGGCTTGGGATTTGACTTGGACAAGTCATGTCCCCCTCTCTGGGCCTCAAGTCCTCAACTGTAAAACAAGAGGAATGGACTAGCTGATTGCAGAGCCTGTTACTACTACTGTAAGGCTCTGTGATTCTGTAACCATCCATCTAGCAAACAGGCCATCTGAATATGGTGGAGAGTCCAGCCTTCCTGCCTGGCTCACACTTTCCTCCTCCTGGATGCCTCCCTTCTCTGGTTATTTCCCCCCTCCTGGGTGCCTCCCCGCTATGGTTATCTCCCCTCTCCTGGATGTCTCCCTTTCCTGGTTATCTCCCCGCTCCTGGTATCCTCCTCTCTCTGGTCATCTCCCCGCTCTTGCTATGTCCCCCACTCTGGATATTTCCTCCCTCCTGCTATGCCCCCCCACTCTCTGGTTATCTCCCCACTCTGGGAGGCCTCCCCTCTCTGGTTATCTACCCCCTACCCTGGATGTCTTCACACTCTGATCATCTGAGTTCTCTGCTTCCTTCCAACCACAGACAGATTTCAACAGACATAATTAATACTGAAAATCCAAAGCAGAAAACAGAAAACACTGCTGTGAGTGTCCACAAAAGACAAGCCAGAGACAAAATTCATAGAAAACTGTATAACGAAGTAAGAGAATGAAGCCATTTGGGGTCAAATCCCAGAATAATATAAATAAGGTCATGTTTGAAAAATACACATAGTTGAGTATTTGTGGATTCTGCAGCCAAGGGCAAAAAGTGGAAGAGTGTGAGTATGTGTTTATGTGTGTGAATGTGAGTGTGTGTGTGTGTGTGTGTGTGTTTAACGACTAAGAGAGGAACTGAACAAACTCAGGGCAGAAAGGCCATTCCAGAGAGCAGTATGGAATTGCCTAGAAGTTTAACGGGTAACACATCCCTTATCCAAAAGCCAGGGTAGAATTCTGTCTCATTAAAGCTGAATGGTAGTTACATAAGGTATGTCAAATAGAATCCTTGGGAATCATACCAGTTGGGTCCCCGACAACCACGAGAGAGGGAGGAGGTGGGAAAGGGAGGTGCCGATGTGGTGGTGATCCTGGGAGCCAGAGGGACTGGGAGGCATTCATCCCCAAAGTCCCGCAGTCCATCGAGAAGGCAAAGCTCGAAGACTGGAAGGCAGGCGTGGGCAGGACTGAGGTGAAACTTTCAGTTCCAGGGAATGGAGTGTGAACCTTAGTTTAAGAACCAAAGAAAGACTACTTGGAGGATCCCACTGGAAGAACCTTCGTGAATGGATGCCCAGAGCTGCTTCAGTCCAAGCCAAGGAAAGGACACTTGCAAATTATAGAAGCAGGCAAGCTGTGAGATGCTCAGAGAGGCCCAAGAAGAGGCACCCCCAGGAGGCATGCTGATGTCTGCTGACTGCAAGAGGAAGGAAGGGGCGGGGAGGGGAATACCCCTAAGGACCCCCAAATGGAGTCCAAGGGACTATGCTCTCTTCCCCCTTCATTGCTCAGAACTGGCAACTTCCCACCACAGGAAGCAGGATGGTCAGTGACAAGAACATGGATTCCGAACCAGAAAGACTCACATTCAGACCTTGACTTTGCCACTTGCCAATTGGGTAAGAAACAGTGGGAAAGTTATCCAGTTTCTCATCTATAAAATGGGAACAGTAATACCGTTCTACAGGATGTGAGGATCTGAAGTCTTTAATGGCTATTTAAAGAATTAATGTCTGGCTCAGAGTGGGTCATAATTTGGTACCATCGCTATTATTAGTAACTACCTGACAGACTGCTGTGGACAGAGGAGGCGGAGGAAGAGAGAAGGCAGGAAAAACTAAAATCCCAGCGGTGGGGATCTAGAAGAACAAATTCTACCTCCTGTCCTCCTTTGATTCCTGAGCATCCCAAGACAAGAAAACCAGTGCTCTCACTGTCCAGGTTCAAGATCTAACAGTTGCTTCACCAACATTTACCGGGTCCCAGTTACTGTGCTGTCGGGCACTGGGGGAAACAGGGGGAACCCGGGGGGTGGGTCGGGGTGGAGTGTAGTGTGGTAAGCACTGGCCAGTGGGTTCAACATCCTGGCCTGATCATTGAATTATACACTTCAATGGGTGAACCCCGCAGCATGTAAATTATACCTCATTAAAACTGTTTGAAAACAAAAAGTCCTGGGTCAGATCATTACCAGCTGTGTGGCCTTGTGTAAATCAGGCATTTCCTCCGGGAGCCTCAGTTGTTTTTCTGCAGGAATCCTACCCTGCCCTCAATAACAAAGCCCTCCTTCAACCAACCTCATATTCGGTCATGGGGACCCACTTTAAAACAAAATAATGTACCCTAAAGCTCTCTGTAGACTGGAAAGGACTACGCGAATGGGAGACCCCATCATTCCTACTTTCTGCTCTAATACACGGAGAAGCTCAGAGGAGGGAGGCTTCAGTGAGCTAGAGGGGCCGGCAGGGTTGTGGGAGGTGGGTTTGAGTGAGAGCTGAAGGATCAGTGGGATCTGGATGAGGATGAGGAAGAGGAAGAGGAAGAGGAAGGAGGCCCTGCAGTAGGAGGAAGAGCTGGAGTGAAGTTAAGGCTGTGGGAAGGGCAGGCTGTGTCTCTAGAGCAGTGACAAGCAGTGACACGTGTCCCACTGGACCAGATGCTTCCTTACGGGGGAGGGGGTGGAAATTGGCTGTTTATGGACCATACACAACCCACAGAATTAGACAAGTGAACAATTTCTAAACATTCCATATTTCTGGTTTCTTACGAAAAACGGGAAGACTCTGTCAATGCCAGGTCCATATTCCAGCCTGGCCCAAATGAGGCGGACCTGCCCTAGCTTCTACTACTCCCTGGACACCAAGGTCACTTTACTCATGGGCATTGCTCAACCTGCCCCTACACACTGTTCCTTTTGTAACCTCTGGTAGATGGGAACAATCAGAGGAGAAGGCAGGGAAGTCAAGCTGGGGTCAGGTGTGCGATAGAGAGCACACCAGCTCTAGGATCAGAAAAGCCTGGGTCCACATCCTGGCTCTGTCACCTCCTGGCATGAGGCTGTGAGGAGCTTCACGAATTAGTACACTCACCGTTGTTTTTAAAAGACATTATATGGCGGTAGCTACACTCGTGGTGAACATAGCATAAGGCATCCAGAATTATCTAATCACCATGCTGTACACCTGAAATTAACGTAACACTGCGTGTCAACTATACTTCAATGAAAATGTAAAAAGAAAAGGCATCATACAAGGCATGGTTCATACAAGGCACCGTACCTGACACAGTTGGTGTTCACTGTGATATCATTATTGCCTACTATCAAGCTAAGGAGTATTTATTGAATCTGGCAGAACCTGGGGGGCCATGGTGGAGTTCTGACCAGGGGGGTGAAGTGGGAAACGTGCATCTCACGAAAGGTGCCTCTGATGCGCAGGGCAGATAGCAGCAGGAAGGTATGGGGGAGAGGAGGGTAGGGGACCAGTTAGGCCTGGAAAAGAGGGAAGCTGGTTCTCGAGTCTGTAGGCCTGAAGCAAGAATACCCGTGGAGGCCTACACATTTCCACCATCATATTTAAGAGTTATAAATGAAGCTAACAAATTGTTAAATAAAATATTTTCTTCCGTCTTGATGAACATACTTTATAACTTGGCCTGGAAGGCCAAGTTCAAATTTGGGAATTCTCCAATTCCTGGGCGCTCTATGCCTTGGAACACCATGACCCTGAAGGAGCACCTCCCTGCTCCCCGCCTGCACCTGCAGCCTGACCCCTGCTTTTCTGCAGCCAGAAACACTTGGAGGCTCCCGTTGGCACAGCCAAGCTCTTGACGACCTGGTCCCCCATTAGCCACCCTTGGCCATTAGGGGTGGAGCAGGGGTGGGTGGACGCTGAGGGTATTCTCCCGGAGGTGGAAGGGAGGTTAGTGTTAGCCAGGGGAGAGACCCACACAGGCTGGGAAAGGGGCACAGGCCATTTGGACAGAAAATTCCAGGGTCCTGTAGGGCAGGATTTAATAGATGGGGTATCCACTCCTCATGGCAAGTGGATTGGGGGAGGTGGGGGGGGGACTCCAGGGCCCTTGGGGAGGGGCAGGCAGGAAGAAGGTACCAACAGGCAGGGCCCAGGCAGGGACACTGCAGGCTCGCGTTTGCCAGGCGGTACCTTTGGCGAGGGAGATGTTCCTCAGCGCGATGGAATGCTCCCAGTCCTTGAGGCGCAGGTCCTCGGTGACCGTGTTGAGCAGGGCCAGCTCCTGCTTGAGCTGCAGCTCCATGCCCCTGTGCACCAGCCGCAGGCGGCGGGTGTCCTCGCTGGCGTTGCTCACCAGCACGTGCAGGTCCTGCAGCCGCGTGGCGTGCAGGGCCACGTCATAGGACAGGCTGTGGTTGAGGCCGCGTAGCGCGCTGCCCACGTCGGCCAGCTCCTCGCCCAGGACGCCCACCCTGCGCGCCAGCCCGTCGAGCAGGCCGGCGTGGCGCCGCAACAGCAGCTGGCTGCGGTTGCTCTCCACTTGCAGCTGGTACAGCTCCAGTTGCGCCGCGTCGCTCTGCTGGCCTGTGCGGTCCCGCAGCAGGGCCACCGCCTGCTCCGTCTGGGCCGCCTGCGCCTGCAGCCCCCAGAGCGCGCCCTCCAGCCGCTGCACCGCGCCCACCAGCACCAGCAGCGAGTCCGACTGGTTCTGCAGCGCGTCCTGGGCTTTCCACACCTGCTCCGTCAGGTCCGCCTGCAGCGGCGCCTGCAGCAGCCGCAGCTGCAAGTCCCGGAAGCTCTCATTCAGCCGGTTCACGTTCCGAGTCAGCGCCTTCAGGTCGTCCGGGGAGCTCCGGGGCCTGGACACTGCAGAGGGGAAGGGGAGAGGTCAGCTCTGCTGGGGAGGGTCCCGGGTCCCAAGAGGCTGGCCTGGCATGCAGTAGGTAATCAAGAAATGACAGATGAAGGGAAAGCAGAGGGGGACTCTTAACAGATCCCAGGCACTGTGCTAAGCCAGCGGTCCCCAAACTTGTCTGCCCATTAGACTCACTAGGTGAGGTGTCCCGCTCACAAACACGGTGATTGAATTGGTCTGGGGTGTGACCGGGGCTTTGGTGTTTCTAAAAGAGCCGAGATCATTCTAGGGGGCGCACTAATTGTACTCAGCTCCCCGTTATGTCTGAGGTCAGTCCCTGTGCTATTGTCATTTCTGTATGCAGAACACGACTGGATATCAGCAGTTTCAGGTGGCTAGCCCTAAGATACTGAGTGTTAGCCTCTCAACGTTAGGAGGCAGATGCTATTCTTATCCCCCTTCAGGGCAAGAGCTGTTAAAGTCACCAAAGGTAGCACACAGCAAGTAAGTCATGGAGCCAGGATTCTACCCTGCAGGGCTTGCTTGCTTCAGAACCAGGGTGCTTCCCTACAAAGTCTGCTCCAGAACTGATTGAAGGAGCCATGCCAGCAGTGGACTCAGCCCGGTTCTGGGCAACACTGTACTTCCCAGTATCCGGGGGTTCAGGGTCCCACCCCCTCACCCCCTCACCCCCCCTTGTCGGGGCGAGGGCCCCTCTGTGCAGGTAAAGATGCTTTTATATTCATCCCCTCTCTTCTCTGCCCCCTCCAATCCTTTTTCTACATCATCTATTTCCCCGCTGAAGCAAAGAACCCATCTCAGTGACTTTTCGCCCTTTCCTCTCCAGAGGTTTCCTCTTCTTGGTGATAAGCAGCTATTTTACAATACTGAGGGGAGGGATGTGCCTCTTACTAATTGCAACCTGGTGTCTCCTCGTAGAAGCTTGTGGACTGCGCTGACTCAGGTATACCAGAAACCCTGGCGCTAGGAGCCTCGGGATGCCTGTGGTCTGTTTGCTGTGCACTGGCCGGACCTGTACCCACCACCACTAGAGAAATGGAAACTACTAGTAGAAGTGGGACAGGGTGAGAGGTGGGGGCAGATGAGGCCCAGAGGGAATTCTGCCTTGGAATTCTTGGAACTGGCACAGCAGGATACTTCGTCCACAGCCTGTCCAGACATTGAGAAATTGGGATAGGATAGCTCTCTTCCAGAACCCCAGGCAGGGAAGGGGGCAGATAGTTGTTGAGGTGCTTGAGTCACACAAAGACCGGCTGCCCCCATGCTTCTGGAGAAGCTAAGTCATTTCAGATTAGATCCAGAAGCCCAAAGTGCTAGGTGGGGCCTCGAAGTCCCCATCTCAGCTTCTCCCTCCCCTGGAACTTTAATCTCCAAGAAAACCACATGCCAAGTGGTCAGTCACTTGGCACCTACTTTTCTTGCTCCATCCACATGACCCCCAATCTTTACAATCTGCTTATACCGCCTCTCTCTCTTCAATCACTTCTGTTAGAATGTTCTGCATTCTCTTCAGACTGGAAGTTTGCCTTCCTGTAGTTTCTATCCATTAACCCTGCCCTTTGGGGGTCACATAGACATAGTGAAATATTTTTCCATAAGACAGGTCTTCAGAATTTCAAAATTTCTGGTTGAAAATCTGCATTTCCTTCATCTGTTCTCTCCTGACTAGGTTCTAAACCTTCATACATCCTGGCTGCCCTCCTCTGCCCGCACTTCAGGGTGTCCATATCCCCTTAGAGGCGGTGCCTGATCTAACGGTGGTTTTCCAAGATGTGGACACACTGGGCAAAGTATGGGAGAAGGATCGTCTCCTTCGTTCTGGGCATGACACATGTCATGTGGCCAAAACTGGGCCCTGTTGAGCTTCATCTGTCTGCGCTTTTCAGACCTTGGCCATTGGATTGGGGTCTATGCAGTCTTCGGTGAAAATATCCCCCAATTTCCAGTGAAAACACGGAGGCCAAGACAGTGTAAGTGAACTGCCTAATGGCAAGCTTTCTGCCTCCTGGTCCAATGGTTCCCATCACTGCTCCATGTTCTGGAAGCATAGCCGAAACATTGTCGATAAAAGTAGAGGGTCTGGGGAAATGAACCCATGACCCAATCACCACCTAAGTAACCGCAGGAACTGTCTGCTGAAGAAATCCTCACAGGCCAGGATTTGATTTTAAAACCAGTGTGTTTGTCCAGTATTTGACCCAGACTGGTTGGCAAGTGTTAGAGACAGGGTGGCTGGAAAACAGAAAGGCCGATAATTTAGTTACAGTCCCTGCCTGTGATGCCCCTGGAGTTCAAAGAGACACTACAGCTTATCAGCTGCAATAAAGAACACTCTGGGCTTTGCAAATTCTGGTTTGAAATGTGGGATTTGTGAGTGACTAAGGGGAACAGGGCAACCTACTTGCTTTAAGTTCCAGTCCTGCCTACACCATGAAGTAGAAAGTCTCCTTTACTCCCCCTCTCTGTTGGCTCCCTGCTCCCTCCTTCCCTCCGCAGGTGGTGCCCATGCCTGACAGGTGCTCTGTGCCTTTGGATGGTCCTGGCCTTGCCCAGCAGCCCCCTCCCCTGAACCTGCCAGCTCTGGGGCCTCCTCTCTCTGTTCAGGAAACTGGGCTGACAGTTGCCCACGTGGTAGTGATTGACAGTGGGCTACCCCTGCCCTGAGAGTTCATTTGGGTCTTTTATTATTGTTCATTGCACAACCGGTGTTAACATACACCCAAATAAAAGAAAGAAAATAGTTCCTCCACAATCCCACAGCCTCCAACAAAGCACATTGGTTTTCTTTTTCTGGCTCCACCCATAGGCATCCTCATTCTTTACAATTTGATTTCGGAGCTGTTTTTCTTTTTTTCCTAGTATGATTATTTCACAAACATGTTCCCATCATTCTCTCTTTTGTAATTATAATTTTGGTGGCTGCACCCATAGAGTCCATCAAGGAGATGTGTTGAAATTTACCCATTCTCATACCGTCGAATATTTTTTTTCAGTCATGGACAATAAATGCAGAAAGGTCTCTCCTTGTTTTGAAAATGTTCCTGACGATAAATTCCCAGAAGTTAAATTAGTAGATCAAAGGGTATAAACATTTTTGTGATTCTTTTTTTTTAAGATTTTATTTATTTATTTGACAGACACAAACCACAAGTAGGCAGAGAGGCAGTCAGAGAGAGAGGGAGAAGCAGGCTCCCCACTGAGCAGAGAGCCTGATGCGGGGCTCGATCCCAGGACCCTGGGATCATGACTTGAGCCAAAGGCAGAGGCTTTAACCCACTGAGCCACCCAGATGCCCCAATTTTTGTGATTTTAAAGAACTCCAGCCAAATCACTTCCCCCAAAGTTACATCTATTCATGTGTCCGTCATAGATGTTCTGGGGTGCCTGTTGAAACAGGCAGATAGAAAATCAGTGCAGCTGAGTACTCCAATCCTTGTATTGTTAATTGCACAGATGTAAAACAGTACCTTGTTATTTTTTATGTTAATATATTTGCATTTGAGAAGAGAAGTGGCCTTTTCAAGGTAATGCATCAGCTCAAAGGAATGGTTTTGATATTTTAGGTACTCATGCTAATCAGAACAGAAATTACTTGGAGGGGTAAATAGTCTCTGGGCATCAAATCATGCTGCATAAGCCCAGAGCAGCCTCCCTTTTTTTTTTTTGGGCTCACTTACCCACCCCAGAATGAATTATCTCCTTCCAACGGTCACAGCGTGTTCTCACCCCACACCACCACCACCCACCCTCTTCCCCCATTTAATTCCTTCCAGATGTTTGCTGTCCTCAACAGGGAACAATTCTTCCTTGAGTGTGACTCTCCTAATTCATGTTTATGCAAACAGTTCATTTATCTCTCTGCCCGGCATACTTTCTTTTAACATGCTTTCATTATTCCTTGACGTTAATACTTTCACAAGGGGGACAAGAAATCATAGAGTAACAGTCATAACTGGCATTTCCCGAAGACTTGCGATGTGCTTTTCACATGAGTACACTCGATCACCTAACAACCCTATGAGATAAGTATTACTAGGACCCTCATATTCCGAAAGAGGAACCCGAGGCACTTAAGGTTAAGGAGCTCACGAGGTCACACAACCAGGAAAGGGAGGAGACGACCTTGGGTCCTAGGCAGTGTGGTTCCAGAGTTCCTGGCTCCTGACCCCTCTGCAGTACCACTAAAGGAGGGAAGGCACAGATCCATTTTTTTAACAGAGACAGGCAAATGTGGACTAAGCTTGGAAGGTAGTGAGTTCCCCATCGTAAACCCAGGCGGGAGTCAGGCTGCTTGGCAGGAATCATGCAGACATTCAAATTTGGATTCTGATGCAGCGCTGAGGGCTGAATCCTAATTCTTGTATTCCTGCATGTAAGAGTGTACTAATATATGATGAATGCCTTGGGGGCTGCCTTAGGCTGCACCTGAGGCTAGGAGGCTTGCTTACACACATCTCCTGCAGCCTTCTTACCTGCACAGCCATCGAGACTTGCCTTCCCACCTATACCCCGGCCCCGAGTCAGCCCTCCGTTCCGTAGTTGTCCTTTATAGTCATGAAAACAAAAATCACGTGCTGGTCCAGTGAAGGTGCTCCAGATGTGACTGACCTCAGGGCTGTCTTCCCCAAATGCCTCTGGCATACCTGTCATGCCGGCAAGGCAGAGGACCTGGTGTGGGCCAGGAGGAAGAAAGCCAAGCATTCTGTTTGATGTTGAGTGGCCTAAACCTTGGGCCACTTTCTCTTTGTATGGAAGTTCACATCCATCACCTCACTTAATTTTCAACATAACTCACCTTGGGAGGTAGGCAGGGCAAGTATTCACAATTTCATGTAAGAATGAAAAAAAAAAAAAAAGAGGCTCAGAGAAATCAGAAGATTGCCAGGGGTGTAAAATACGGAAGAATCGGGGTCATGGGTCCCTTAATCCAGCCCACTGTCCCTCTCCACTTGCTGCTGGGATAGTCCAGCACGTGCTGAACTCCAAAAGC